GGGTTTCCAAGTAATGCAAATAAGATTTATTTTGCAATCTCAAAAACAACAGAACACACAAACTACTACTGAAGATGAGCAGATGCTGCAGATGACATCACCAGATGGATCTTCAGTGAAGTAGTCCCACACCTTACTACGACCCTCTTTTTCCATCTGTAATAAAATAATCAGCATAAAAGTACAGTTATATGTCTGTTGATACCAAGACAAAGTAAAATACATTAAATGTGGCATTTTTATACTTAAAGTTTAAAAATGATCGTGTAAATAAATGATATCAGACATTGTGGCTCAAAACCAATGGCTCTGTTTTTGTTTGGTTCCCCAGCTGTTCAGGTTTTCTCATTTAGTATTCAAGTCTTTTTTTCTTCCTTCCACTGAATTTTCTACTCCGTTTGTTGTCAGGTATTTTTTTCTAGTTATTCTTCTTTCCCTTTTAGGATTCTTTCTTTTAAAATATTTTCATTTATAATTCCTCCTGTGTTCCCCTGCTGTCCTCTGCTCCCACTCATAGCTCCTCCTCATAACTAGTCCTCTGTCATCTCTCACTCCTCAGTGCATACGATTCAGTTTCAGTCATACTCTGCTGGTTTCAGCGTCCTAGCTACCCGATTTTATTTCTGTCACCTGATTTTTGGCATTAAAATACTTTTGAGTTTTACACTTTTGTGTTTAGATCCTTTCCAAAGCCGACAGTATTAGGAAAATAAAAATAAGATACGTTAAATGACTAGTATGTGGCAATGTATAAGCCTTATGTAAAATATAAGTCTTAAAAAATACAATAGTTCTATTGTAGAGAGGAATGTTTATTTTCTCGTATTACCACCCCCTACTCCTCTCCCAGAGGAGGGGGGACTCCCTGCACAGCGTTTCATTGCTTTGTTGCCACTTGCCAACCCCCCCTCGCCCGTCCTCAGCTGCGACAACGGTCGTGTGCCGTCGAAGCGTTGCGAAACGGGGACCGCCTTCATTCATCGCCCTTGTTATCCTATTCTACAGGTGCTGGCCAGTAAATTAGAATATCATCAAAAGGTTGAAAATATTTCAGTAATTCCATTCAAAACGTGAAACTTGTACATTATATTCATGCAATGCACACAGACCAATGTATTTCCGATGTTTATTACGTTTAATTTTGATATTTATAGGTGACAACCAATGAAAACATCAAATCTGGTATCTCAGAAAATTAGAATATTCTAAAGGCCAATGAAAAAATGTTTGTTTCTCTAATGTTGGCCAACTGAAAAGAATGAACATGAAAAGAATGTGCATGTATAGCACTCAATACTTAGTCGGGGCTCCTTTTGCCTCAATAACTGCAGTAATGCGGCGTGGCATGGACTCGATCAGTCTGTGGCACTGCTCAGGTGTTATGAGAGCCCAGGTTGCTCTGATAGTCGTCTTCAGCTCCTCTGCATTGTTGGGTCTAGCGTATTGCATCCTCCGCTTCACAATACCCCATAGATTTTCTATGGGGTCAAGGTCAGGCGAGTTTGCTGGCCAATCAAGGACAGGGATACCATGGTCCTTGAACCAGGTGCTGGTGGTTTTGGCACTGTGTGCAGGTGCCAAGTCCTGTTGAAAGGTGAAGTCTGCATCCCCATAAAGTTGGTCAGCAGCAGGAAGCATGAAGTGCTCTAAAACTTCCTGGTAGACGGCTGCATTGACCCTGGACCTCAGGAAACAGAGTGGGCCAACACAGGCAGATGACATGGCACCCCACACCATCACTGACGGTGGAAACTTTACACTGGACCTCATGCAACGTGGATTCTGTGCTTCTCCGCTCTTCCTCCAGACTCTGGGTCCTTGATTTCCAAAGGAAATGCAGAACTTGCTTTCATCAGAAAACATAACTTTGGACCACTCAGCATCAGTCCAGTCCTTTTTGTCCTTGGCCCAGGCGAGACGCTTTCTTGCGCTGTTTCTTGTTCAAGAGTGGCTTGACACACGGAATGCGACACCTGAATCCCATGTCTTTCATGAGTCTCCTCGTGGTGGTTCTTGAAGCGCTGACTCCAGCTGCAGTCCACTCTTTGTGGATCTCCCCCACATTTTTGAATGGGTTTGTCGTCACAATTCTCTGCAGGGTGCGGTTATCCCTAGAGCTTGTACACTTTTTTCTACCACATTTTTTCCGTCCCTTCGCCTGTCTGTTAATGTGCTTGGACACAGAGCTCTGCGAACAGCCAGCTTCTTTAGCAATCACCTTTTGTGTCTTGCCCCCCTTGTGCAAGGTGTCAATGATTGTCTTTTGGACAGCTGTTAAGTCAGAAGTCTTCCCCATGATTGTGGTGCCTTCAAAACAAGACTGAGGGACCTTTTAAAGGCCTTTGCAGGTGTTTTGAGTAAATCAGCTGATTAGAGTGGCAGCAGGTGTCTTCTATATTCAGCCTTTTCAGAATATTCTAATTTTTTGAGATACCAAATTTGGAGTTTTCATTAGTTGTCACTTATGAATATCAAATTTAAATGTAATGAACATTGGAAATACATTGGTCTGTGTGCATTGCATGAATATAATGTACAAGTTTCACGTTTTGAATGGAATTACTGAAATATTTTCAACCTTTTGATGATATTCTAATTTACTGGCCAGCACCTGTATAGGCCACATGGGTCGCTGAAGCGCTGCACGCCGGCGCTCCAACCCGCACCATGCAACGCTAGTTTCGGCATCTGCACTATTTTTTTCGCAAGCCGCGGGTGAACCGAACCGCGTGAGTTTGAAAAGACTGCTGAAGAAGAGCGGAGGAAATTGTCTGAGAATATTCCAGAATGTCTACCAGAAAAAGGCCATTGTTACTTACTTACTGCCCTGCATGACTAAAGGGGAAGCAGCGTGAGCTCTGCAGAGCGTAATGCTGCGGCAGTTTTATTTTATTTTTTCAGGTTAACTTTTCAATACGAGGCACACAATAAACTTAGGAAGCATGTTGAGGGGAAACATACTTTTATTATTGCTTATTTTACCGTTCAACTTACCACGGACACAAAAAATATGCTTAAAACTGAAGACTTACCTCCTACTTCCTCATCACCGTCTCATCTCTGCTTGACTCTGCTGCTCCGCTGCATGTGTGCTGTGATGGTGGCTCCACCCCCCGAGGAGTGTAGCCCACAACATGAGTTCATAAAGCTGGCACCATCTACTGGATAGGTAGCGCTATATCGGCCATATCGGCCGTCTTTTTGGTCGATAGCCGATAGAGTTAATGACCCCTATATCGGTCAGGCCCTAATCGATAGGCAAATTGGTGTTGCATCTGCAGTGATGTGGGCATTGCATCGGTCTGCCATGGTGAAGAGAGAGTTGAGCGAGAAGGCGAAGCTCTCGATTTACTGTTCAATCTATGTTCCTAACCTCATCTATTGTCATGGTCTGAGTTGAGTGGCCACCTCTAACAACTATGGATACACTTGTGGTTACAGGTGGGTGGTGTGGCAGAGTGGACCCAGCTGCTGCGAGTCAGCCAATCTATCAGACTGGACTATTTAAGGTCCTGGCAAACAACTACACAATGTCAGATGATTACTCACCTTGGGTACAACCAGACAACAATTTGTTTGCTCTTTTTTGAGCCCTAACAGGAAAGTCTTTCGAGCCCCTAACCCTTTTTTCACCTCCAGGCCCTATGACCACCTCTGAACCACCCACCAACCTTGAACAATAATAACCTCTGGAGAGAACCATCAAGTCCACACCTGCCAGCCCCCCAGGTGTCCCGCTCTCCCACAAGTCACCCCCTGGATCTACGTTCGGCTATCGAGCCCTAAGACCCTACCTTGGGCCACCACTTCAGACCTCCTACCTCCCCCTTCAATCTCCAGCCATTCAAAGAAACAGCACAGCCTCAGTGCTAAAACTCCTAGCTCTCCTGGACACTAACTGCTATCTGTCTTCAAGAAATAACCATTTGAGTTGGTGATCCTGCACCTGCTCCACGTTTGTGGAGCTTTCTCAGTTATTGTTAAATAAACCTTTCCTTTTTTAACTGCATATTTGAGTCTTGACTGATTCTTCATGTTGTCCACCCCCAACATGACAAAATGATCCGGCCAACAAGCCAACATAGCTGAATCCGTCTCTTTCAATGTCACCACCACCCTGGTTCGGCGTGAAAGAACCAGACCTTGGTTGAGCAAGTAGCTGCTTCCCATCAACGCCTGTTCCAGATGGAGGAGTTAATGCTGAAAATCCATGATAAAGTCTCTTCCCTGGGGCCGCAAGTTCAAAACATCTCTGGTGCGCCTGGACCAAGTCCCAGTGTGGCACCCATGCCGCAGTACGTCCGGGTTGCTGACGCACCTCCCCCGGAACTTTTTGATGGTGAGTAAGACAACAGTTTTTTTACTTCAATGCCGACTGACCTTTGAACATTCACCAGCTTCAGGAGCCCTCTACACCGTGCCCACCGTTTTCACCTACCACTTTGCTGACAGGTGATTCAATAACCAGCAATGTCCGCTTCTTCGATGTCATGAGAAGATGTTTCCGTCAACCACCGTCCCTGCTCTGCTGAATATGCTAATAGGCAGTGAAGCATCCAGTCCAGGTTTCTTTAAAATTGGGTTAATAACCGCTTTTCAAAACTCTGTTGGAACCAATCCAGAAGCGAAACTGCTATTGATTATGTGCAGATTTAGTGGTGCAATACATATAAAGACTTCCTGAAGCAGACGCGGGAGTATGATGTCCTCCAGTGATCCACTTGGCTTTGTCTCCTCCACTAAACTGGTTAAGTCTGCTAGAGAAACTGGTTGAAAAGAAACCAGCCGTCTCAAGCAGTGGACAAATCCATTAATCCATTAAGCAACATGTAACTATGGTGTGATTTTTAATTAATAAAATACTAAATCATTTTTAATAAACATCCCAACATTGATGAGATGTTATTAAAGAGATGAAGTTAAATAAGAGGTAACCTCTAATTTTTCAGCTTTTTTAAGTTTTAGAGGTTGTAGACAACACATTTGATCACAAAACTCACATAAATAAGTTTTTCTCTGTATCTGATAAGCAGGTTGCGCAGGATCCCAGCTTCGTTGAGGTCTCCAAGCCGGATCATGTCTTCTACACCGTGGATGGAAGTTGGATGCATGGGCTTTATGTTAGTGGCATTCTGGGGGGAGATCCAGTGCTCCTGCAGTTGAAAGGGACAATTAAATGTAAACAAGATAGAAACGTTTGCAAAAATGCAAAAAAAAAAAAAAAAATCCTTTCAGGTGAGCTTTACTGTGATTCTGTTCCTCATAAACATGGTTGTTCAGATATCAACGTATCTCCACGCAGGAGTGTGATGTTAATTTCAAAGGCATAGGTGTGTGTGTTCAAACAGATTGAGTCTGACACTGTACACACACACACACACAACCGGTCAAAAGTTTAGAACACCCCAATTTTTCTATCTTTTTTTATTGGACATGATGCAGTTAAACGTCACATTGCACTCTGAAATGAAAGCATAGTACAAATAAGCAATTGGAGTTAAAAAAGAAATCATGGAACCAATTTATAGACCAAAATGTGTTCTAAACTTTTGACTCATCAGAGTAGCCACCTATGGCAAATATAACAGCTGAACACACTCGTGACATTCTTTCTACAACAGACATCAAATATTCTTCAGAAAGTTCTTCCATATCTGCTGCAGAAGTTCCCATGAATGTGTGGCACTTGTAGGTTGCTTTGCTTTCACTCTTCTGTCCAGTTCATCCCAAACCAGCTCCATGGGGTTTGTCTGGAGACTGTGCTGGCCACTCCATCTTGTTCTTTGTTCCTGAGGTAGTTCTGCCATAGCTTGGGTTTATGTTGAGGGTCACTATCTTGCTGTAGGATGAACCCCTGACCCACTAGGCCCATACCAGAGGGTACTACATGGCGCTGGAGAATGCTGTGGTAGCCGTTTTGGTTCAGGGTGCCTCTCCGTCTGTACAAGCCACCGAACCTGGATCCAGAAAAACATCCCCAGACCATGACACTTCCTCCTCCATGTTTGAAAGTGGACGCCACACTGTGAACCATCCTTTCACCTACTCGACGGCGTACAAAGACCCTGCGTGATGAACCCAGGATTTCAAATTTGGATTCATCAGTCCATAATACCTTCTTCCAGTCTTCAGTAGACCAGTGGCGGTGTTTCATGGCCCAGGCAAGCCTATTTCTCTTATTCTGACATCTTAGCAGCGGCTTTCTTGCTGCAACTCGTCCTGCCAAAGCTGCAGCTCCAAGTCTTCTCTTCACAGTTGAAACTGAGACTTGCTTACTACGACCACTATTAATCTGTGCTTGAAGCTGTTGTCCTGTGATCTGCCTATCACACAAGCTGTTAACTCTCAGAAACTTGTCCTCTGATGCAGTTGTGGCTTTGAGTCTGCCAGACCTCTTCCTGTAAGAGTTTGCCCCAGTTTCTGAATGCCTTTTTTTAAAATTTGTTTATCAAGAACACATATAAACTTACATACATTGGATTGTATACAACTTAGATGACATATTTTCTCAGACATTTCTTTCCCAATCTTTTTTAACTTTAACTTATCAAACAGAAGAGAGAAAAAAGGAAAAAATAAATAAATAAATAAATTTAAAAATAAAATAAAAGCAAATAGATAAATACAAGGGGGAAGGGGGGTGCTTAAATCCAATGTCTACCTAAAAAAAAGAAAGGAGTAAGTGTCGGATTCTTTTCAATATAGTCGCAGGATGGGTAAGTTGCTTCGCATTAAGGAAAAGATTTGAGATATTCCAGAAAGGGTGTCCACTTGTGGATAAGTTTTGCTGAACTACCCTTCACTGTGAGTGAGATCTTATCCACCTTCAAAAATGTCCGGACAGTGTTAAGCCATTGCAATGTAGATGGAGGCGTGGGAGACTTCCAAAGAAGTAAAATACACCGTCTAGCTAGGAGGGAGCAAATGGCCAAGATCTCATTTTGCTGGGGAGTTACAGTAATCCCTCGTTTATCGCGGTAGATGCATTCCAGACCTGGCCGCGATAGGTGAAAATCCGCAAAGTAGGGACTCCCAGCATGCCCCTCGCGGGGATTTCCTCCACGTCGCATCTACGTCACAAACCGCGGCTATAAACGGAAGTCGCCTTTCCAACTCAGTCATCGATTCTTCAGATTCATGATCAGAGTTTCCAACCTACCGATCAATCCAACGAACTATCAGCTCATAGTAAGTTATCTTACTTCTGGAAAGCCCGGCATTTCCGTGTCACTTCCTTGACGCTCAAACGCTCGGGGGTTTCCTAGATCAGCCGGCGTTTCACCGACGCTATCACTTCCGCGTCTGTGAAACCACGCTCCCTACAAGCTCAGTTCCCGAATCCCGCCGACCTGTCTGACATACAGTACTATAGTGAATTATCGTATGATCACATTCTCTTTTTGTGGGTAAAACTCAAGAAAAAAAATTTTTTTACTTGGTTTTTTTAGTTTTATTACAAAAAGTGCATTTTATGATGAAATTGATGGAAAAAAAACAAGAATTTCTTGATATTTCGCATAGAAAAATACCGCGAATCAGTGAAAAATACTGCGAATCTGCAAATTCCCCCTGAAAAATGCTCCAAAGAAAAAATCCGCGAAGCAGCGAATCCGCGATGAACGAACCGCGAAGTAGCGAGGGATTACTGTATATTAAGAGGCGTCATCGGAACTCCAAAAATGGCTATTAGAGCGTCCTCTCGGATTTGTATTCCAAAAACTCCCGAAAGTACAGAAAAAAAATCACTCCAAAACTTGTTCAAACTCGGACAGAAAAAAAAAACATATGGCTTAGATTGCAAGGGGAGGTGTGACACCTGTCACATTGGTCTATGATTGAAGGAAACATCTTAGATAAACGGGATTTTGAGAAATGGACTCTGTTCATCACTTTAAATTGTATAAGCTGTAGCCTAGCACATGGCGTACTTGAACGGATGATGAGATTCACCTTATCCCACCATGATTCACACAGTTCAAGACCTAATTCACGCTCCCAGGCAGTTCTGATTTTACCTGATGAGTCAGATTCAATTGCCATAAGCATACAATATATACTAGATAAAGGTGATTTTTGATTAGGCCTAGCAAGCAGGAGGTCAACCCATGGAGGATCAGTGGGGAGAATCGGGAAATTTGGAAACAGTGATGAGACAGTGTCTAATTTGAAAATAGAGAAACAAGTGAGTGGAAGGTAGGTTAAACTTTGAGGATAGCTCTGAGAAACTAAGAAAGACATCATCTCTGTAAAGGGCTCTCATGGTCTTTATGCCTCTTTCGTGCCACATCAAGTAGGCGAAGCTGGTAGAGGCAGGGGAAAATAGATGATTCCTTAACAATGGTAATCTGGTAGAGGGGGATATGAATTTAAAATGCGAACTGAAACCATATCTTAAGTGTAGAGATCACTACGGGATTCGAAGCAACAGAAGATATTTTTAACAGGCAGTGATGAATAGATAAGGGAGGCGGGTGAAAAATGTGAAGAAATAGATTGAATTTCAAGTTTACACCAAATCAGATCAGGCAAATTTAACCAGTAGGTCAGCTTATGAATATGCGAAGACCAGTAGTACATTAAAAAATTTGGTAGGGAAAGACCCCCATTAGAAGTAAACTGTTGTAATAAAGAAAGCCTAAGTCTAGGGGCTCTTCCATTCCACAAAAAAGAAGAAAACATCCGGTCCAGAGACTTAAAAAAACACATGGGCAAAAATAGGGGGATACACTGACATAGAAAGAGAAATCTGGGTAGCACATTCATTTTGATAATATTAATCCTGCCAATTAATGACAGACGGAGGGAGTTCCACCTCTGGAAATCTAATGTAAATTGTGAGACCAGGGGGGCAAAATTCTCAGAAAACAGTAAAGGTAAAGTTCGTGTAATATTAATCCCCAAGTACCTAAACCCCGAGGGGCTGAGCTTAAAAGGAATGTCAGACTGCTCCAATGTTAACGCTAAAGAGTTCAAAGGGTAACATTCACTCCTAAGCAAATTAATTTTATAACCAGAAAAAGAGCTAAATTTTTCCAAGACAGATAAAATCGGGGGAAAACTACACAAGGGGTCAGCTACAAACAAAAGAAGGTCATCTGCGTACAGGGATACCTTAAGTTCAACACCTGCACGGATAATTCCATGAAAGGAAGAGAGGGATCTCAGAGCAGCAGAAAGAGGCTCTATGGCTAATGCAAAAAGAAGGGGAGAAAGAGGACACCCTTGTCGAGTGCCACGGCCTAGTGGAAAGTAAAGTTGGTTGAGAGTTGGTAATGACACAAGCCTGAGGGGATGTATAAAGAAGTTTGATCCAAGACACAAACCTTTCTCCAAATCCAAACCTCATCAGTACAGCAAAAAGATAATCCCATTCAACCCGATCAAAGGCCTTCTCTGCATCCAGAGAAATGATCACCTCAGGAGATGAGGGAGAGTGAGCAGAAAAAATTGTACTTAGCAATGTACGTGTGTTAAAAAACAGCTGACAGCCTTTAATAAAACTGTTCTGTTCCTGTGAGATAATCTGTGGAAGAACGGCTTCAAGTCGAATTGCAAGTAGTTTGGCCAAAATCTTGAAATCTACGTTCAGGAGAGATAGGGGCCTGTAGGATTCACATGTTGTGGGGGTCTTTGTCTTTCTTCAATAAAACTGAAATAGATGCCTGCGTTAAAGTAGGGGGCAACCGGCCGTTTCGTAGTGATTCATTATATACATCAAGAAGGAGAGGGGCTAGTTTGTCTTTAAATTTTTTGAAAAACTCAGCTGGAAAACCATCTGAGCCTGGGGCCTTACCGCTCTGCATACAGTTGATTGAGCCAAGAATTTCCACTATTTTAATAGGAGCATCAAGCTTATCAGAAACTGATTTATTTACTGTGGAAAGGTCAGAATTTTGGAGGAAGGCAAGCATCTCATCTGAAACTGACTGTGATTCGGAGGTGTAGAGATTGCAGTAAAATCTCTTAAAAATCCCGTTGATAGAGACAGGGTCAGAAACCAGATCGCCAGACTTGTCCTTAACTTGTGAAATTGTCCGAGAGCTGGCCCTACGTATCAATTGGTGTGGTAGAAGTCTACTTGGTTTCTCACCATGCTCGTAGTAGGTAGCACGGGATCAAGTCAACAGACGTTCCGCGTCAGCTGTTGTGAGGAGATCAAGTTCAGCCTGTAAATCCTGTCGTCGTTTCAGTAGCACCTGTGATGGATTAATGGCATTTTGGTTGTCCACGTCTTGAATTTTTGCTGAAATTTCCGCTACCTTGGCCCTGGCGTTTTTGTTAAAATTACCAGATTAAGAAATAATCTGGCCACGCAGATATGCTTTCAGTGTTTCCCATAATAATGAAGAAGAGACTGAATCACTTTTATTAAAGGCAAGCAAGTCATCGATTGCTGAACGGATGAACAGGTTGAATGGATCATCGGATAGTAAGAGAGTATTGAACCTCCAAGAAGGGCAGGAGCGAGGTCTACCAGTGAAGTTTATATCGAGGGTTAGCGGAGCATGGTCCGATATAACAATTGGGTGGTAATCAGACGATGTAACTTTCCACATCAGAGAACCATCAACAAAAAAATAATCTATATGGGAATAAGATTCCTTCCACGGACTGGGAACAAAACTAAGTTTAAAAGATGCTGAAACAGTCTGGTGATGGCTGCACCCAGCTGTGCAGCGCAGCCTTGCAGCACCCTGCCCCTGAGCCTGTCTGGGCCAGGGACCTTGTACAGGTTGACTTTCTGTAAAAGGGAAATCACCAGTTTTTCATCAACACTGAGGTCTTGATTGCTGGTCTGACTATTCTAGTTTTGGTTCCCTATTGAAATATTTTAGTAGTATCTGCCGAATAAAATGTTTAGTTCTTCTAATAATAAACCAGGGTTTGTGCTTTTTATTCTATTGACAATTTATTAACCACTTACAAAACGTTAAATTAGACAACATCATCTTGACACTTAAATATAAATTGTAGAGACCACTGATTTCAGAGACAATGACAAGAATGAGCCAAACATTTTCATAATTAAATATTATAAAGATTTTAGTGCTTACGCTTCCTTCGTCATCAACCACCTGGATCTGCCCGGAGTCACACAGCTTGACCACCGCTCCAACTGGAACCTCAAACTCCCGACCAGACTTTAGATCCAACCAGACGTAGTCACCCTGCACAGAAAGAGAAGCATCTTTGAGTTAAGGATATCATCACCATCACTGTCCTAATCCTCCTCCTCGTCCTCATTATTTTCCTCATTATCAACATCATCATCATTATCACTCTTCTTCTTCTTCTTCTTCCGGCTCTTGGCGAGTGCAGACCCTTTTTTCCTCCTCTCCTCCATATCTTATCCTCAAGGCCTTTGTCTGTGTGTGCTGGGTGCACAGCTGCTTCTGCATTTTTCTGGAAACTTAAATTCACTTAAATGGATCTCGTCAGCTGGTCTCGCTATTGATACAATTTTTTCAATGATGAGAACGGGAGAAGGGGCTCCCGGATGTCCGACCAGGACAGACCCATTTGGACACATCATGGACTCCTGGAAACAGTGGAACTTGATCTGTCTTTCTCAGCTGTCTGTGGAGGACTCTGAAGACGTGTGGATATTCGTGGTGTTGGTGTCGGGTTTCCTGCTCATTGGCCTTGGAGGCTACCTGGCTTACAGAAAAATTAACGAGCTGTCGAGGAATATTGGCCTGATCCCGGAGCTCAGAGATGGTTTGCACCGCGCTGTGAATTCACAGACTCAAATAATTGTCGAGATGAATCGTAAGCTTGGAACTTTGGCCGAGATTCATTCTTTGGCACAAAGACGGATGCCATCAAGGAGAGAGTGGACGAATCAGCACGGATTGGGATAGATTAATGTCCATTATTGGGATTTTGAGAGGTTGAGGACCAAGAAACTGTAAGACAGAGAGGAAATTATCTGTCTGGCCCCAAAACAATTTGTAATCAGAATCTGGCATCCTTGAGCCTGCAAGGCTCCAACAAAAACTCCCCCCTCAGAAGATATGTAGAATGTGCCGTTGCTATGGCAACTCAACTCTTTCTCCTATCCCAGCCTGGGCGGGACTGCGGGAAGGCCGCTGAAGCTTCCAGGGTCACTGCAACCCTCCAACCCTAAATGCTCCCTCCCCATCCACACTGAGTTAACATGTGCTGCTTCATTGTGGCTGCAGGAACTGAAGTGGGGATAGTCCCAACCCACCACCCCACCTAGTGGACACTTATGTTGTGTTGTCTGAAGCCTGTTGCATATCTCTGTCTGAGGTGTTTTTTTTTTTTACTGAGCAAAGCTGCCCTCCTGCTGGAGAGTAGCACTGAAGTGCCTTTTTTCCCTCCACCTGAACCAATCCTCATGTAACCCTCTTATCTCTATTAAGGTAGCGTGACTCAGGGCTCCGAATGACCACAGTCACCAATTCTTGTCATGTGTCTTGCCCATGTATGTCTGATCTCTGAATTGTGTGTACTGAAACTCTAATTTCCCTCTGTGATTAATAAAGTATCTTTGATTAGATTTGATTGATTGATTGATTGATTGATTGATTGATTGATTTGCCCATAACTTCTTATTTTTTGTCTGTTTGATGTCATCATTTTAAAAATGTTAGATCACATGATACTCAGTACTCAACCGGTTTGCTTCCAGTCGGCAACAAGATGGCGCCTGTGCTTGGCTTAGCCGCGGTCACCGGCCACTTTTTCAAACTTTTCTCCACTAACCTCCTCTTTTCCACCTTGCTCCTGTCTGCGATCCTCTTCAGTAGTATCCCTGCTACCATCTCCTATGATCGCCAGACTCTTTTGTCCTTCCGTTCGTTCACAATCGCCCAAGATGCACCGAGGATTTACCATCCTGTTTGTTTACCTGAGCGGCGCACTGGCCCGGAACCAAACAACGATCCAGAGCTGCGAACCTCTAGCGACGTTTATCCGGTCCCGGGAAAACGTCGGAGGAAAAGAGGTAAACGAGCAGGAATCCAGGTGAGAATAAGACTTCTCTTAAAGCGTGGTTTATCTGGTAAACATCGGCGCGATCTTCTAGCTTGTTGTCCTTTGTTTGGTGACCTGAGCGCCACTTCCGCATTCCTGCCAGGCCGCGTCGGGACGCGGTTCATCCGTCCAAGTTTTTTAAGGTCGGTTTATCCTCATTCCTCAGTGGTTTCTCCTCCTGTTCCCTCCATAAGTGGTTTTTATAAACACCGTGGATCTAACCCCGCTAATTTACGTCCACTAACTCCAGCTGTTTCTGTAGTTTCTGATTCCTCCACCTCACTCAGTATGGCTCTATTAAATACCCGCTCTGTTAACAATAAGTCCTTCCTGCTCAATGATCTAATTCTCTCTAAAAACCTGGATTTTCTGTTTCTGACTGAAGTTTGGCAGCAAACATCTGATTATTCTGCTCTGATTGAACTCTGCCCGAGTGGTTATTCTTTTCTTAGCCAGCCTCAGGGTTCTGGTCGTGGTGGAGGCCTAGCTGTTGTTTACAGAGACCATCTTCCATGTAACTATACAACCTCTGGTCACGTTGCTTCCTTTGAACTGCAGCTGATTAAAGTCGGGCGTAAGAACCCGTTCTACTGTGCTGTGGTCTATCGTCCAGCTGGTCCAAACAGTTCTTTCCTTCAGGAGTTTAGTGACTTTCTATCCTCCACTGTGAAGCTGTCCAGACTGGTGATTGTTGGTGACTTTAACATCCACATTGATGATCCCTCCGATCTCTTTGCCATGAATTTCTCCAGCCTTATGGACTCCTTCAGCTTTACCCAGCATGTTTCTGGCCCCACACACACCAGGGGGCACACTCTAGACCTTGTTTTTACTCTGAGTCTAAATGCTGACAGTGTTTGTCCTGAGGACGTTTATATTTCAGATCACCATTGCATTTTCTTTAACTTGTCAGTTTCTGCGTCCCCACCTCCTGCTCGCCGTCTGGTTAGTTCTCGTTTTCTTAATGAGAGCACAGCTAGCAATTTTTCTGCTGCTTTTGATCCACCCTGTTCTTCTGATAACGACCCAGATTCCTTAACTTCTCAGTTTAACGAGCACTGCCTCTCCATTCTGGACAACATCGGTCCTGTCAGAACCAGATCAGTTCCTGCAGTGAACCCTACTCCCTGGTTTAATGACAGCCTTCGCAGCCTGAAGCGCCAATGCAGAAAAATTGAGCGTTTGTGGAAGAAAACCCATCTCCACGTCCATCTGCTGCAACTAAAGGATCTTCTGTCATCCTTTAACTCTGCAGTCAGAGACGCTCGGGTTTCCTATTTCTCCAACCTGGTGTCCCAGAGCAAAGGGAACCCCAAGGTGCTGTTTAACACCATCAGCAGCATTGTCTCTCCTGCCTCTCCTACAGCCTCCATCCACTCTTGCAGACTGTGAGAACTTTCTGTCTTTCTTTGTGGACAAAGTCAATAAGGTTAGATCTAGCATCTCTCCTTCAGCCTTATCGCTGCCTCTCCCGACTCCAACCAGGCCCATCATCCTAGATAGCTTTGCTCCTGTTTCTTTGCCTGAGTTAACCAAACTAGTTAACTCTATGAAGACCTCTGCACCACACTTTGGGAATCCCTGGTTTAGATCATATTTCTCCACAACAGGGCATTCTGTGTTAAAATGGGTGATGTTTTTTCATCTTGGGAGGGGCTCCGCTGGGGGGTCCCGCAGGGATCGATCCTTGGTCCTCTTTTTTTTTGCCATTTATCTGCTTCCTCTGGGGTCAATCTTTCGTAAACATGGCCTATCATTCAATCTCTATGCTGACGATTGCCAGATTTACTCTCCATTGTGTCAGGAGAAAGGTCACTCTATCCAGTCCTTTGTGTCCTGTCTTAACGAGGTGAAGTCCTGGCTAATGGCAAACGTTCTGCATCTGAATGAGGGAAAGACAGAGCTCATTGATTTTACACCCCAACAGCAGGAATGTGGGTCGTTATGTTGATCTTGGCCCTCTTTCTCCCTACTCAAAACCAGTTGTTACCAGTTTGGGGGTGAAAATTGATGCTGGACTTAAATTTGATGCTCACATCAACTCTGTGATCCGGTCCAGTTTCTTTCACCTGAGACGCCTTGCAAAAATCAAGCCTATGCTGTCGAGAGCCCACCTGGAGCGGGTACTGCATGCATTTGTAATTTCTAGGCTTGATTACTGAAACTCTCTCTATGCAGGGTTGTGTCAGTCATCACTGCGTCGCCTACAGGTTGTGCAGAACAGTGCAGCCAGGTTCCTGACTGGGACCAGGAAACAGGACCACATCAGTCCGGTTCTGGCCTCCCTGCACTGGCTTCGGGTCTGTTATCGTTCACACTTCAAACTCCTCGTCTTTGTTTATAATTTCATCCAGGGTGGTGGTCCCCCCTATCTAGTCACACTCCTGAACAGGCATTCCCCTTCACGCGCTCCTCCGACCAAGGCCTTCTCACTGTCCCTCGTTCTAGGTGTCGCACTCGCGGGGACCGGGTTTTCTCAGTCCTAGCACCGTCACTCTGGAACCAGTTGCCACCCTCAATTAGGCTGTCCCCATCTCTGCCAGTCTTTAAGAGTCACCTAAAAACTCACCTCCTCCGCTTGGAGTTTCCTGAATGTGTTTGATTTTGGCCCTCTTGTATGTTGATTTTTTTCCCCCCTGTTTTCATTGGTTCACTCTATCCATTGTTTTACCCATTTGTCTTCTACTAGAATATTTTACCTTTTTTTGTAATTTGTAATTTGAATTACTTTTATTTTCGATTTATTCACAATATTTAACTTTCTCTTGTACCATGTTCAGCGCCTTGGGCTTCCCGATAGGGCTGCGGAAGGCGCTTTATAAATAAAGCTTTGATTGATTGATTGACTGATTGATTGATTTAAAATGGATGGATGGATAATAATAATAATAATAATAATAATAATAATAATAATAATAATAATACATTTTATTTCAAAGCGCCTTTCAGGACACCCAAGGTCACTTTACACAAAACACGTAATAAAATACAATAAAACAATAATAAAACCCAAAGAAGAAAAAAACAGAGAGAAACATTTCAATAAAATCAGAGGTTGTAGGCAGATTTAAACATGTGTGTTTTGAGTTTTGTTTTGAAAAGGGTAAAACTGTCAACGTTCCTGATGTCTGGGGGAAGTGAGTTCCAGAGTCGAGGAGCAGAGCGGCTG